ATACCTGTGTATACCTGGCTGCGAAGAGGTGCGGCCAGGTGCGCAACGGCAACCATAATTTTTCAGAGTCTTTATAGATGTTGCCGTGAAGTAGACGACATTTCATTGAAAAAAAAAGTCAGTGAAATTTCTTACGGATTATGAATTATTAATAATTTAATTAAAAATACTAGCGGCCACATTTTGATAGGCAACCTGGTGGATATAAATTCTCCTAATCATGAATATGTGTAAAAATTTGGTTTTCAGCAAACACTCGATGGGTACACTGATTCTGCAGCCGGATCTTAGACTATTACAATTATAACACTCTTAGTCTCAGTCGTCCCTAATTAAAGAAGTTAATATTATTATCTATCTATACATATAATAAAACTGTACAAGTGTATATTCTGTATAATGAACATATTAAAAAATAAACAGTAGGGTATTACTAGATAGACACCGAACCCAAAAATTGATCAATAATATTTTAGTCCGTCTGTCTGTATGTTCACGCATCACCCAAACTACCGGTCCAATTACGATGAAACTTGGTATGAAAATACTTTAATATCCTTGGCATCACCCCAGGGTGGGCAATTATGTACCCAGGTATTTTTTATGAAAAAGTACTTAAATACACGAAATACAAACTGCGCTGCGCCTCGATCTCTACCAACGTCTACCAAATGTAAATATAAGTTTGTCGAATATTAAGTTGCCCGCAGTGGACTTTACGCTGTAAGTATAGGGCCGATGGTTGAAATTAGCTTGAACCGATATTATAAATGCCAAAATATGTGATTTTGTGTATTTGTGTGTGTTTGTTAATCTGTACTGACTTAGTTACTTACACACTGAGTAACATCAAAACGGCTGCACTTCCTGGGAACTGCTGTGGTCTGAACTTCCTGGGAACGCAGGCGAAGCCGCTGGCAGAAAGCTAGTTAATATTTAAAAATAAAGAAAGTGTCGGAAGATTTATTGACGTGAGCGATACAACATGCTGGGTTAGGACGTACACTACAAGTCCAGTAATCCAGTTAGTAACTACCTAACAGTAGCATTTGGTTTTTGTTCTTCATTCTTCAGTAAGAATGCTTTTTCTTTCTTCATAGAAGAATAATGTCGTACTTTAAAATAGATCGTACATGTGATATGGTGATGGCGGGCGCCGGCACTGGCGCGGGCCCGACTGCTGAGCATTGTTCTCGGGATAACCACGGGATAGTACTGTTTGCGGATGATACTTCGTTATTATTTAAACTTAAACGTAGACAATTAGTCATTGATAATGTGAACAATGCTCTCTCGGAAATAGTACGCTGGTTTAGTGCCAACAACCCATTACTAAATGGAACTAAAACTAAATGCATTAAATTTACAACACCAAATGTTGGACATGTTAAAACCAACGTGCTCATTAAGGGTGAGGAGTTGAGCCCTGTAGATTCTACTGTCTTTTTAGGTATAACCCTAGACGCTAAGCTCCAGTGGGCTCCACATATAGATAAGTTATCGAAAAGGCTCAGTTCTGCAGCATATGCCGTTAAAAAAATTAGAAAGTTAACCGATGTAGATACAGCGCGATTAGTATACTTTAGTTATTTTCATAGTGTCATGTCATATGGTATTCTCCTATGGGGGAATGCTGCTGACATTCAATCTATCTTTGTTCTGCAGAAGAGGGCCATTCGATCAATTTATAATCTTAGTCCGAGGTACTCTCTCAGGGAACTATTTAAAGAAATTAATATAATGACTGTTGCCTCTCAATACATTTATGAAAATGTAGTATATGCTCATAAAAACAAAAAATTATTTAAAAAGCATAGTGATATACATAATATCAACACGAGAAATAAAGACAAATATGTTGTTCCCACTACTAGACTAAAGAAAATAAGTGGTTCGTTTAGATGTCAGAGTATACGCTTTTACAATAAAATTCCCAGCCATATCCAAAATTTGAGTCTAAATAAATTTAAAAATGCCATTAAAGATAAATTTTTTAGTAAAGCTTTTTATAAAATTAAAGACTACCTAGATGATAGTCTGGCTTGGGAATAAGCTGCTGTAACGTCCACACAGGTCCTGTTGACATGTTTGTAACATATAGTTACATTTCTTGACATTGTTTTTCATATATTGTTCTAACTTGACATTTGCTTTTTCCTTTACAATTGTTAGTGCTAGGACCGTGCGAGACTTTGCCTCACCATTTCTTTTCTAATTACCCATATTCTGACAGTTTGAGTATTTGTGCGACCCACGCAAATGTTCTTTAGGTTGGTATTGTTCGTCGAATCAGTCAGCCTCACCTGTTAATTGAGCCGACTGTAAACCGACACATGCGTACTGCCTTCAGAACGGGTCCGCTCAAACTGTTGTAGTTCTTTCCTCAAAAGGCCACTACAGAAAGAACTTGCACGGTTCTCACACATAATCTTTTATACATATTGTCTGGACTTTAAAAGAGACAGACCTCTGAGTTTGTTTCGGCATTTCTTCTCAGAGTAGTCAGTTAGGAAATGTCGACCTCATCGTTCGCTTGATAAAATTGACGTGTAAAAGTGCTGCCTTGTAGCCTATTTGCAGAAATAAATTCACTTGTTTCACTCACTATACAAATATAATTATGGCGCGGTAGTCGCGAGTGCAGCGTGCAGCACTGCGCCGAGCCGTGCCCCACGCCGCCGTCCGCCCGAAGTCTTTCCCGTGCGGCCAGAACTGGGTGGACCTACCTACATACTTACCTACTATTGTACTACGATGTATGTGCGACACGCACCAAAAAGGGTAAAGTGAGTTTTACGCGGTCGCGTCCCACTAGTTGCTTAACGTAACTTGCCAGACTGATGCTATCCATCGTATCCATTGCGTGCTCTTTGCATGTAATTGTACTCTTTGGAGTTATAATTCATGTTTACCGTTTCTTTATGTTCAAGAGGAGTATCGCGCCAATACTTTCTGCAAGAGATGCTAGCGACGACGGACGTCTCAAATCACTACATAGTATAAAACAAAACAAAGTCACTATCCGCCATCTGTCTGGCCCTATGTATGCTTAGATCTTTGAACCTACGCAACGGATTTTGATGCGATTTTTTTAAATAGATAGAGTGAATCTTAAGGAAGGTTTGTATAATACCTACAATCCTACATGTATATTGCACCCGTTCGAACCGGGGTGGGCAGTGGGTCGCTAGTAGAGAATAAGTACTACTTACTAATGTCAAACCATTGTTGATATATTCAGTTTTAGACAAATACGGCACAGCAACTAAATATAGAGAACACAGTTAGGTACTGACGGTGATTGGACAAATGGACAAATGTTAGTCAGCCCATCGAGTTTAAGGACTCAGCTGCTACGGTTGCAGCTTCTGCTAGGGTTTGGAGTATTGTCTGTTGAGAATGGCAGCACCGGAAGGAGAGGGTGCGGGAGAGCCATGCTTCGGCACGGATGGGCCGGCTCCACCGTCCGAGCTCCGAAACCGACGTGACACAACGCTTGCGGGCCAATTACTAACTCCGAATTGTGAATTCTTAGCCAAACAAATTATTTTGATTTGAAATGGCCACTACTGTACAATGGCGACATCATAGGTAAAGGCCTAATTATTGATATCTGCCTATAACTATTAAATTTTTTAAAGTATTGCAGGTCTTTTTTTGACAAACAGTGCAACTTCCAGTATATAATTGCATGGTATGGTCAGTACATTTAATTCCATGAAATAGGCTTTGTAACTGTTTGCTTAATATTAGCTATAACTAGGTTGAACTCTAAACACAGCGTCTTTGTTACTGGAGTTACTCCAGACTATAACACAATACTTTATGACATAAACATATCAGTAACAGATCGTAACAAGAGTAAACCTACTAACCATCTTTGTGAGCATATAAAGTGCATATGAGTACATGTGTATTGTGTATACATTGTGTAACGTCCACTTCTTGGACCGAGTTACTTCGGTATCTAATTCATATTCACATTGGCTATTTTATTACATCTGTATCCAAATGTCATTCAATTACTTTTACTGAGATTAAAGCATAGCTAAATTAGAGGTATTGGATGTCAACCAGTTTATTATATATTGGAGTGTAGTCTCTTTATCGTGTTGGGCACGTGCGTAAGTCGCTGTATGCGACGCCCGACCAGCCCAACAGCAATGGCGCGAATAAAAGACATCAACGCAGCCTGCAACACGCAGCACGCAGCACGCAACACGCAACACGCAGTGCGGCTCGTGCCGGTTGCGGCTGTCAACCCTGGGCCTTTACTTGCGTTCCTGTATGGTGGCAGGTTCAATTCCTAGTGAGTCTCGTTAGTGCCACTGTTGCAACTGATGATGAACTGACACAAATTGATACAATGCATTGCGTACTGCGTCGCCAACTCGGTACAATACGTATATATGATTACAGCTCGTGCAGTACCAACTTCCTGCGACAGTTTATTAGAACAATCGTCGGAGCATTAGTCTCCTGCAGGTTGAATAAAACTATGTTCCGTTCTAGTGAAGTACTGTTGTATGGAGCTGGGGTCAGTTTGCACGCGGTGGTCTCACGAACTACTGCCTACTAGGATCATGTGCTACGGGTAACCGGGGCTCCGGCTCGACGTGCAGGAGAAGGAACGGGGTGGTTTTTAGTCAGTAAGAGTCTGACACTCCCTTCCGCCTAACCCAGGCGGGAGCAGTCATTCGATGATTTTCCGCCCTTAAAAAAAAACTGGTCCGATTTGAAACAATCTTTTCGTGTTGGATCGTCCATTTATCGAGGAAGGCTTTGGCTATACTTAAAACATCACGCTACGATATAAATAGGAGCCGAGCAGAGCGGGTGAAACCGCGCGCAAGTATCTAGTTCGTAACAATCTAGACCAGTGGGTGTCAGTAGGGTCGGAGTGTACAGGGTAGTTCCACACACAATGACACTTTTGATCGAAGAGTTTGGTCAGCAAGTACCAGTCACTAACTATTATAGTTCACATCGAGGACACTCACAGTGAGAGCAGGTTCTCGTGCAGCGGCGGCAGGCGGCGCAGCGCGGCGGAGCGGCAGTCGAGGCGCGCGCCGCCCTCGCCGCACGCGCAGCCCGCGGGCGCGCGCGCCGGGCACGCGCCGCCCGCCACCCACACCAGCGCCGCCGCCGCCGCCGCGCACGCCAGCAGCCGCGCGCGCGCCATGCCCGCGCCGCGTCACCGCGCGCCGCTCATGCTGCGCCACTGCACTGCACGCACGCTCACTACACACTGCGCCCCGCTGTTTGTCTAATTCATAAGCTCGATCGATGCTTATCACTGCCCACTGACTGATCGAGACCGATATCGCGCACGTCGTGTGTCACCGCGGGCGTCGGGCGCGTGATCTCGCTGCGAGGGCGCGCGGCGTACTGGCGGAGTGTCGTGACGTAAGGACGGGCCAGCGCCACGGCGCGCCCCGCACTCCGCCGCCGCGCGCCGCCGTCTTGTCTGCCGGCTACGAGCGTTGGATGGAGCTTTACGAAAGTTCGCCACGAACTCGCTCAGGCCTTAAATAGAAGACGAATAGTTCCTACGCCTAGCTATCTGGCAGAATCAGGATTATTAGCAGTCGGTGTAAGAGTCGCGACGTCTTTACTGTTAGTGGCTCCCACGCGTTCCGTAGCATGGTAGTAGGTATGGCGGCGGTGTGGTCTTACGATGTTCAGTTCTTGACTGATTCCATTGTAATCTACATCTTTACATAAAGGCATCGGCATCCTTTCTATGCATTTAGGAAATAATAAGTAATTTTTCGGGTCACAACAACAAACCTCCATTTAGATATTACATACTACGTACCTATAATACAATATTATCCATAACAACACAGACAATGCCAACGTGACTTCTTGCGAGCTATACTTGTACTGTATGTGTTTACATACGGTATGTTCCGTGAATGTACTGTGAAGGGAACCATCATGAAGAAACCTGAGCTTCTCGTCAACAGCCTATCTGTGGCTACTGCTGACCAAAGCTCTCTTCACACGAAGAAGGCCTGGCCCCTGCTGGGCAAGGGGTCTTGGGCTCGATTCCCGGGTCGAGGAAAGTATTACTGGGTTTATAAACATTGATTAATTAATTTAATTATTATTACTTTGCTTACTTTACTTATAAAATGTTTAACTTGAAACTATATTTCCTTACACACTACACAGTAAGTGAAGTGAAGTCCTTGTGAAGTCGCTTAGTCAAATATGTCGACGATATCAGCCACCGTGTTCAGACTGCGCTCGTGCTTTACGAGAGAGCGGCGCGCGTTGCAGCTCCAGCAGGCTGGCGCGCGCCCGCGGCACCACCACCAGCCGCGTCACGTAGTCGTCCGGCGTACGAAAACCTATCTCTGAAAGTATGTCCAAAGTACAGAAATTCTTTATGGGGTTAGGTATTAAATGATATAATAAAATACCACTTAGCATACTAGATCTCAATGAAAGTAACATATATTAAGCGCGAATTATACATATCAAGCTTACTACACACTAACAGATTGTCTTGAAGATAAGAATGCTTGGCAGCATGTTGGTTCGGCTCCACTGGACAATACTCAAATGTAGCCAGTAGTTAGATTCCAGTAGTAGGTAATTTAATAATTTAATACTTCGTTTTCTATTTATACGTCAGTATGCATATGTGAGCACCATGTTAGACTATAAGATTTTTATAGTACCTATAACGCGTCAAGCGGGTCTTTGTATTGTTCTCACATATGCGAACCCCTATACTTATTATACTCTTTGCATATGCGTACATAGGTTAGGTTAGGTCAGGTTTTTTTTTTTTTTTTTATACAGCAGGAGGGGAAATCCTCATGGAGACTCACACCTCCCCACGAATAGGGAGGTGTGAGTACTGCCGGACTCTTACCGGCTAAAACCCCTCCTGCTGTTTTCGGAAACCCCTGACGTGGTCAAGGCCAGTGTTTTTCATGTCGTTAATTTTGGACAGAATAATTATTTAATTTCTTTATGAAGTCTTAATTTATGTATTATTTTGTACAGATTATTAAACGTGTCAATTTGTTTATTTATATTTTTAGCTTGGGTTTTTATGTTACTGAATTTTTGTTGCTGCTGTTTATTACCTAATTGCTTTTACTATATTTAAATGACCACTAAATTAATATAACATTATTTATTTTTACTTAAGCTTAGTAATGTTTGTTCGCTTCCCTTCATCACATATTTGCATATGTGGGAAAGCGTGGTTTTCTTAAGCTAAGTTTTATTTTTATTCGTCACTCTATTTACTACATATTTACAATATTCTAGCGTCTTTGTTCTAGTTTTCCTATTAGTCAGCAGCCTGGAGATGTTATTTTGTGTAACTTTTTGCCCTTGCAGCAGTTGTTCGGTCTCAAACCTCTCTTTTGCATACATCGGACAGTGGAACACAACATGGGGGACAGTCTCGTCCTCAGTGGGGTCGCATGGACACGACGGATTTCCCTTAATTTTGAAACGGTACAAGTATTCGGAGAATCCGCCGTGCCCGGTAAACAACTGGGTGGTGATGCTGTTTGTTTCAATTTTCTTGATACTGCTATACGCCGCGGCTGCACTGGGGAAGAATATTTTCGTGACGGAGGCGGTGTTTCCGGATCTATACCTAGCGTCCCACTCGCTGACAGTGTCCATACGGATTCTCCATCTGACGAATGAGACGGGGCATCGGTCATAGTCCGGCCTCCTCTTCGATCGCAGCGCTGCCTCCTTCGCCAAGCAGTCAGCCCTTTCATTTCCCTCCAGACCTGCGTGGGCTTTTATCCAGAACAAGGAAACGCTCTTGTTCTGCATGGCACAGTGGCGTAGAGCGTTTCTTGTTTCCACTGCTAGGGGATGGGTGGAGGTAGGGTTGACGATAGTTTGCAGCGCTGCCATCGAGTCACTGAAAATTCCGAACGTGGATTTTCCGCTATTTAGCGCCTCCCCGGCCGCTCTCTGTAGTGCCAGCAGTTCTGCTTGGTAGACGGTACAGTAGGACGGCAGTACAAGTTTTTTAGTTGTTTTTTCGGCTGCGCTATCCCACAATAGCGCTGCACCGACTTTGCCCTCGATCTTGCTGCCGTCCGTGAAAATTCGCACGTCGTAGTTCGAGGCGTGGTTGTTGTATTGTTCCTCGTCCACCAAGCTGTTGAACTCCAGCGTTTCCTGCTCGGCCGGGTGAGGAAAGTCCTCCGCACGTGTCATCTTCTCTATCTCCCTATCTCCCAAAGCTGGATGGGGCACCCCCCTCTTTGCTTCGTACAATGAAGCAGCTTCACGAACTCGAAGATCGAGGGGGAGTATCCCAGCCAGCAGGAGAGCCGAGTGCAGTGAGACCGTGCGATGGGCTCTGCAGAGCTTTTGAGCGAAGCCTCTCTGCACCACGTTCAGTTGCTTCTTTATCCCCAGTTTGTCCACGGCTGGCGCCCATACACTCGCGGCGTACAGCACTATCGGTTCGACAGCGGCGGTGTAGATCGAACGCACGACCTCCGGATGCAGTCCCCAACTCACCCGCGCAGATCTGGCTAGGCGCTTGTAAATTGCAATAGCTTTTTTACAAGCACCAGCGACGTGGGAGTTGAAGGTGAGGCCGGCGTCGATCGTCAACCCTAGAATCTTCACCTCTTTTGACATTCCAATGTCGATCCCGCCCATGGTCAGGCGTGGGGTGTCGTACTTCAGTTTTCGCGTGATTACCATGGCATTGGTTTTGTGCGGTGCAAAGGGCATTGACTAAAATTGGTGCCTTTCTTTTTTCTGGCGGCAGTCGATGATTTATGGAAAATATTATCTAGAATGTCATTACAAACGAAATTGTCTATGAGCTCATATATGGAAATCTCAGTCTGGACTGAGTTATGAGCGTTGAAAGGAGCTGGAATAAAACATTTTACTTTCGTTTTTTTATTCAAATTATTCATATTTTTGTCACAATTCCTAACTTCAATTTGCGCGCCACTGTACGCCCGGAACAGAAACACCAAATCACACCACAATATATCCATATTGCCTGTCGCTAATTTTTATTAGCTATTTTCTCTCAGTCGACAACTTGTAGGATGCTTCTAGGAGTTGTGTCGAGAAGCTTCATGAGTGTCAGCTGTGGTACCATTGGTGGGTTGAGTAGTTGTAGCCGTCCAAACATCTAATAAAGTATTTTTTTTGCCGTTGACTCCTGGTGGGAGACTCATCTACTTTGTAGTTAGCATAATTTTTTGAAGAAAGCAAATCGTCGACTTTGTAAAGTGATGGACTATATATGGTCAGATGAGCGCATAATTTTTTCATATAATGTGATCATTCGAAATGCATCACTTTATATGAAACGATGTCTATGTACAGAATCTTATGCTAGCTGTAGATTAAAGTATTAACTGTAGTTAGAGTAGTTACTATTCGGAATTAAGACGGGAGAAGTAGACAGAAAAATGAATTAATCGTGTTTTGACGACTGCCGCTAGGTACTCAATCCGCTACCGACGCCGCAGCTGATAAACGTAGCATTTCATGATAGGGCTCAGTAAAGTATTTTGCGGGTTTTCGACTGAGAGGATATTGATCATTAAAATCTGTCATAGGCCATAAACCATAACATATAACGTGAACACACTAGCCAATCAAGCGAAATTTTTTTTTTTTACTTCAGCAGTGGCCAGTTAATGGTTCACTTTAATCTGATTCCGAGCCCTTATAAAACAAAAAAAAAAAAACAGAAAAAAAAATAAGTAAAAAAGTCCACAATAAGCTTTATTGTATTCCTTGAAATCATTTATAAACATTTATTACAAAATATTTTTGACAAGTGTAATAGAAGAAATATGCGTTGTATACGGTCACCATCAACAAAATAAGAGGAATAGTATAGCACTATTTTCACATCTTTGAACTGATTTAACTTGGTTCGGACTGAATTTTTGATATAAGACCCCATATATTTTTTTGTTTGTAATGTTATTCTGCATCAGTTTTTCCACATCCGATCAACTGCCGCGAAAAAATGAAAAGGCACCACGCTCCATACAAATTTGGTCATTGTCATTTCAGCTTGTTTCTGACACCCCACGCACGCACACGCTCGAGAGCGGCATTGGCTTGTCGTTCGATTTCCAGGGCTGTACCACCGTCAAAAATCATCACCACGTCATCCGCGAAGGCCTGGCAATAGTCGCCTCTGACCTCCAGCTGTCTCAGGAGCGGGTCCAGGAGAAGATTCCACAGAATAGGACCACCGATTGAACCCTGGACGCACCCCTTCGAGGTTCGGCGTCTGCTCTCGGCTCCCGCGTACCTGACTGCCACCTCCCTGCCACTGAGGTAGCTATCTATTACTCGCCTCAAGTTGATTGGGCACTTTTCCTCTGCCAATCGGACTCTAAT